ATTCAATTTTCGTCTCCAGTGGGAATTGAACTTGTACTCAACCGCTTGGAGGTGCGACAACTTCACCACTTCACTAAATCGCCACACTCTAAAATATTATGATTTATAAACTAACCTTATTATTTTCATTTATAAAATTATTTTGTATAATGTTTGTTAAATTTTCAAAAAATTTCATATCCATAATCATTGCAAATTATGCATAGCCTACCAAGGTCTTCACGGTATTTAAGGTTTGTAGAATTACTCAGCCGTGCTATGAAAGTAGTACTTTTCATACTATTTGGATAAGTTTTATTAAACTTTTTCTATAGTTCGCTTTTATTATCACTTAAATATAGAATTAGCAATTCTGTTTTTGGATCCACATAGTATGAGCTCATTTTAACATTATCTTTATCTTGAGAAAATAATAAAAACTGATTTTCTTAAACATCAGAGAATCGATAAATGGTCCTTATGGGTTTTTGTAAAGGTGGTGCGCCTGGACCATAAAGTAGATCATGTTTTTTGGCTTTATTTATTGTTTCAGATCCAATCTAATGAATATAAAATCACGTTTAATATTTAGAAAATTTCAAATTCGATTTATCTGAAATTGTTGAAATAAATAAATTCGATTTAAAAAATCATATAAAGCATGAGGTACGCAAATGTAAGTTCAGAGAATTGGTCAGAAGATTTGGGTATTTTTAAGATTTTAAGTCAATAAAACTAAAATCTCAAAATATTTCAGGCTTTGAAATGAAGATGATTTTACCAAAAGTTTATACATTATTGTTATTACTTATTGCTAATTCTTTTTTGAGAACACAGTATTTAAACTTCAGGGCAATAATTGAAAGAATACGAATTTTACTATCTGACCTTTTTTGTTTGAAAGCATAGTGTCTCTAAAGCTATTCCAGAATGTTGTATCTTGCAGATGTGGTTCTGGTACTGGTGATAAAATTTTTTTATCTAATTGCATAATATTATTTTTATAAAGACTTTTTAATAACTCTCTATTAGCAATAGGATCTAAGGCTTTGCTCCAAAATTCTATAGACGATTCTTTTTTTGAAACAGGTGTTACATTAGTATACCTACAAGCAACAAACATTGCTCACCATGCTCGTAGTTCTTTTTTTTAAAACTCATATGCAGTCAGATAGATGCTTTGTAATACAAGTAAAAATTAAATAATGGAGCTTATTTGATCATACTAGTTATAAAAAAGGGATTGCTAATTAATCATTGTATTGGGAATCTTACGCGATTTTATATGATGAGAAAATAATTTTTCAAGCTGTTGCATTTTCTTCTAGTTACTAACTGCACATGTTGGTGACTTACTTCTCAATTTGCTTATATGTTTATAAACTAATGAGTGTATAAGTCTGAAGAGGTAAGTTCCAGTATATTTTTGGAGAATTTCTATTTTTTCCAAATTTTATCTGGAGTTTTTTCTGTAATTGTTCTAATACACTCTGATTCTAAATAAATTTTTAAAATGCATTGTTGATTTTTAATTTTTAAGATAAAAAGATGATGTTCATGATGATAAGATATAGTGAACAAAGAAACAAATCCAGTACCAATTTCATAGAATCTATTTTCATCTAGGTCACTAATATTTGTTATTACCACAGCAAGCTTTTCTATATGAACAAATATTAGAAAAAATACTATATTATTGATCAACTATTGAATAATATTTTTATCTTCAAATCCCATTACGGCCAAACCAGAGTATTCAGTTTTTGTTTTAAAAGTATTTTGATAGCATTTGTTAATTGCTGTTGATTAGGGTTCCGATATTTAATTTGGGTTTGGTTCGGGTTCGGTCAAACCCCGAACTCAAACCCAAACCAAACTTGAAATTTTGATGATCTTCAAACCCAAATCAAACCCAAACTCAAAATACTCAAACCCGATTCGGGCTCAAATATGACTTTGAGTTTGATTTGGGTTCAGCCCAAATGTTTGCAAACATGTTTGGGTTTGATATATAATTAGGCTTGCTTATCACTATTTTCCGGCAACTACTATTTCTCCAACTAGATAGCTGAGTGATGTTATCATGCAAAACCAGAAATAGAAAGCCTAAAAAAAATAATAAATTATTAATTATCAATAACTGCTAATAATTACTTAACTCTTCAAAAGATTACTTTTTCTACAATCAAATCACTAAAATATGGTATTCAATTAGACATTATGACATGTCATCTCTGCTGATTTTTATTATCGATATACAATATATCAGTCAAGTAATTATCTAAGTGTACAATACTGGTAATGATGAAAAATAATAATTTTGGTGTTTTTTTATTGAAATTAATTTGCTTCCATGTATAGCTATGAGTGATATTAACTCTGACAAATGAAATTTTCTGTCATATAATTGTTGTTTCCACCTCTACAGTAAATAGCTATGAGTATGAATAAATTATTTTAATCGATCTCCAATATCACACCAAGTTAATTTTTCGTTATGCATTGCCCTTCGGTCCAAATTCTTCAAAGTTTCAATTTTTTTTACAAAGACAATTTACTTTATTATAAACAAAATAATAATATTTGATTCAAAATAATACTAATAATAAT